ATTGCAGTAAGTGCTGCAAAAGGGGCCCAAACCAAGTACTGAGTACATATGCATGCTTGTACTTTTCAGAGGTCCGATATTGTTCTATGTACAATCCTTGTTTTATTGATTGCATGTAATAATCTACTTTTTTGAGGTTGTGGATTTGGGGTTGTTGGGGTTTTCATGAGCTGTAAGCCATAATCATCACAATTATGACAAATCACGACTTGAACTATCTTGCTTTGCATGTAATGAGTCTATCTCATATATTAGTTTCACCTTTTAAGTTGCATTAGTGAAATAAATGAACTTTGCACAATATTCTAATTATTCGAGTTTCACCTGTATGTAGATATAACTTCCATTTTCTAAGCACTTAGAAAAATAGGGCCACTGGCCATTTTTGTTGATAAGAGTGATCATGTGGGATGCTACTAAACAGTGTGATGAGGACAGAATTGCTGAGGGCAGTAGCAGCAGTGACAAGGTTCCATGCTAAATATGCTCATACAAGGAAAAGTATAGTGAGACAATATACTGACTGCCACTACTTACCTCTCATTCTGTAAATGCTTACTTCCTGGTTGTCATGCTGATCCTAACGCTTCAATACTTTTCAAGCCATTGACCTGCAGAAAGAAAGCAGATTAGTGGTTCTGATTTTATTCTGATTCTGTAATCTGTGTGATTGTTCTAGGTCAGTGGGGTTGATTTACTAAAAGCAGACAGGCTGTTCACCATGCAAGGGGATTTTCCCTTAGCTTAGTGAATGTGGTGAAAATTCAGTTTGCAAAGAAAACCCAAACACATGCTTTTAGGAAACAACCCCAGTGTCTCAAAACATTAAATCCAGAGACAGCCAGTCATGTAGCATTTTCAGAAGGCAGTCAGCAGTTTCTGCCTCCTTCTACATTTGTTCTCCTTTCTCTGTTTCAGAAACATGGTATATTACATATATTATATGTAATGTTAATATTTCAGTGATCACTTGAATTGCCTTATTGTCATATGAATATAACATAATGGGAATCAGTCAGATACAAGCTTTCATCAGTTTAGTACAGTTCAGTTCAACACTGACACAGGGGTTTACAATAGTCAGCCAAGTCCCCATTGTGTAGTGGGAATGCATGTCACATTCATGTGCATTTGTTTTCCACATTTGCTGCGCGTCTCCATTTCAATGGGTTCCTGTATGCGTTACAAATGCGGAAAAGTATTACATGTAGCAAAATCTGCGACATGCATTGTGCGTGTTCTGCCTCCGCATTTGTGTCCGTTTTAATGCGTGCAGATGAGGGGGAGGGATGCTTGTCTTCCCAGCCATGTTTGTGGTGCCATTAGATGGTAACGGCACAGCAAGTGCGTTTCGTGTTTTTTATGTGTTTTTCGCATTGTTGTGCGCATTTAACACACGTTCATGAAATGCCCAGGTATGAATGGGGACTTATCCCAAAAGCAGTTCTGTAACTGCTTAAAAAGTGTTAGCTGGAGTTCAGCTTTAATTTGTTAGTCAAGTCCATCTACATCTACTAATCCAGGGGTGGCAAACTCCCTTGTACTAATGGGTTGGACTTGATGGACGTATGTCTTTATTCAACCCCAAATACTATGTAACTATGTAAGATACACTTTAACTGCAAATGAAGCCAAAACTTTTTTTTAATAGAGTGAAGAGGGATGAAAAAACCTGTCAGGTTTTTTTTAAATATTAGAAATTTTATTGAAGAAAAAAAATAGTTCAAAACAAGATACAGAACAGGTCACTGAATAGAGAACACTCTCTAAGATAGCAGTACAGAATACATGTTAAGAAATCAGGCACATGACTTTAACTGGCATTGATATAGGAATAATACTATAGAAACCATGACATGCTTTCACTGTGAACAGAAGCAACAGGTTATAAGGCACAATGGGTGGAGTGCAGTTAGTAAAGCCTTTAATAGGGAATGTGGGAATACTAGGAGCCACAGAAGCCATACTACAGACTGATTCATGGCGCACCCAGCATCCCCCTGGGCCTTAGGGAGAGTACTTCCGCCTGTAAGCCAGAAGCACATTAGAGAGTGTCCAATTAAGAAAGAAAAGGAAAAAAGTAGAGGAGAAAGAAGAGGGGCAAAGGAGAAGAAACAGGGAGAGGAAGAAGGAATAAGAATCAGCTATGTGTGATAAAAGTGAGTTAGACAATAGAGATAGTGTAGATAGATAGATAGATAGATAGATAGAGCCCAGAGGACCACCAGGAACGCCATTACCGGACTCTCCAGAGAGGGGATGAACACATCCACCCAGTTAGTCAGATAAGTCACAGAATTGAGGGTTGTCCCGAGAGAGAAGCCAAGGAGACCAAATAGCTGAAAATGGTTCATATCTATCATATAATTGGGCCATTGGTTCCTCCATGTGCATCAATTGGTTTAGTTCCATACTCCATTCCCTAAAAGTCGGGATGGTTTCTGATTTCCAATGTCTCGGAATTACAGCCCTGGCTGCAATAAGGAATAATCACAGTAAGCCTTTTTTAATGGACGATATAGATCTGGGGAGGATGGAGAGTAAGAATACTTGGGGAGTGCGTGAAGGAACAGAGGAAGTCACTCTTTGGAATGTGTTGAAGACCATGTTCCAAAATGGTACTATTTCGGGGACTCCCACCTGTGACACACCTGTCAGGTTTTATTGCTGTCTGTCCCCATTAGGGAGATTTACCCTCTCTATTTTTCCTGGTTTGTTATCACTGAAAATGAAAGTGGAAGAAAATCCCAAATTGTGGGTTGTCATCACAACACGAATAGATAGGAAATCTTCCAATGGGGACACTTGTTCTGGTGGTCCTGCTGACCACCAGGGCTTTCCCTCACTTTGGCGGGATTTCCTCTCACCTGTTGTGGCTTTCAGACAGGATGTGAAGGGAAATCTCCCCAATGGGACACAAATAGCAATAAAAAAGCTGACAGGAGTTATAACCCTCCCTTACTCTGTCCGAAGCTAAGAAAAAAAATTTGCTTTTAGTTCTACCTTAGGCCTTACACCCGTATATTTTGTAAAGGCTCACTATATTTAGCTCCTTTCATATATGCCAAATGGAGTTGTAAGTTTTTACAGGTACATAACTTGGATACGCATGTATACCTACCCACAGCAAATGGGAGACGTGTCATTGAAATACCTATTGTTATATGGATCTATTTGTAATTGTGTACAATTTAAAGATAAATGCATGATGTCTAAATATTGAGTCATTACTCCAGGCCATACTCTATAAGCTTTGGTTTCCAGTACATCACACAATGTGGTTAACTTTCTGATCTCATTCATTTAAAGGTTCATATGGGTTTTTTTTTAATTGTAGTGCAAGCTTCAAAAGGGTTATTGACTCCCTCATATCCTCAATATATGTATGACTCTTAGAAAGTGTGCCCATCAGTGCAGAAAGGAAGACATTTCACGGGTACTTTAGGCAGAAAGGATTGGTATTCATGAATTCCTCTGCTACTTTACTGGAGAAGGGTAACAGGACACTTTTATTGGTGTGTGGCTTCAGGGATGTGTTTTATAATGATTTGATTTACAGGGTAGCAGACTGCACACAGCAGAGGGATGGTAGACTTCCATTTGCAGTGTATTAATGCCTTGTAGTATTGTGTTTGAGTTCAGCCGAGCAGAAATCTATTTAATGAGGAAGTAATTCAATCCTAATATTTAACAGATGCATTGTAACATGTCTGAGAGAGGCAAAGACACTGCTTAACTAGTCAGTCCTCGAGTTTCAAAAAATATAGCCAATAAAATACAAAAGGCTTTTCAAGAATTGAGTCTTTTGTCACTTTCTGCAAGACGGTAACACCTTTCTCCTCCCTCCTTTTTTTTATTGCTAGCGATATGTTGCTTTTCTTCCGCCAAAATAGTGCTGAATGCACCCAGAGCAAGATTGACGTAGAAAAGCTGGCAGCTTGTCATTACAAAAGGTTTCTCTTTTGTTGAAAGTGAAAAATCCCTTTAAGCTGAATTTTATTTGGTATACACTGATGATGTTACATGTGTATATATACAGCTTGATATTAATCTATTTATTTTGTAATAGTGATAATCCTAGACATTTCTGAAATGTGTGGGGTTTTTTTTTATTGGCTTGGTCAAACAAACTAGTAGTTAGCAATGTTTGGTAAGTTTTCATAGCATATATAGAAAACACAAGTACTGTATGTGGCTGGTTTATTAAAAAAATACACAATGGGGTATGTACTCGATTTTAATTTTGTTTTTTATTGTGTTTTATTGGACAGACATAAAGTCTATGATGGGAATTTATGAAAACTGGAGCAGGCAAAATCTGGAGCAAGGCAATCAATCAGCATCTCTCTTTCATTTTCAAATATTAAGCGACTCAACTGGAGAAAGAAGCTGATTGGTTGCCATGCACAGCTGCTCCAAATTTTGTCTGCTCCAGTTTTCATAAATTCCCCCTATATTATTTAGTACTGCTACCATGTAAAAGACTGTTTCATCCAACAGAGTCGCTCTCTGTTTTCACAAAGATATAAGTGTCCTTAAAGGATTGGAGGACAAGTACCAACATGCATGACATATTCCCGATGATTCAGCAAATTTTCCCAGAATAACCCCTTCATGACTGAGCTTTTTTTCAGTTTCTGTTCGTTAATGACTGACACACTTTTTACATTTTTGCTGTGCGATTCTTCCACGGCAGTAATATACTTTC